CCCCAAAACCCCAAAACCCCAAAACCCCGGGATAGTGGTAGATGATTGAGAGTGGAATGTTTGAATGGGAAATTCAGGAGTGGGAATTTGGGAAGGGAGTGAGGGAAAGATTTAGAGGGGGTGGAGGGTGATGGAGTGAGAGGAGGGAAGGTAGTTTTGGAGGGATGGGGTGGAGAGGGTTTTAGAGGGAACTGGAAGGAAGATTTGGGACGATTTATGATGTCGCAATTTGGCGGATGTCGAGATTAGGTTAGAAGAGGGTTAGGGGTTGGATTGGGGTTGGAGTTTTGTTAAGGTTTGGGGTTGGAGAGGGGGTAAAGAAGACTTTGGTTGGTTAAAGATACTTTTGAGTAGCTCTGGGTTTATGTAAGGGAGGTACAGCTTGAAACTTGGAAGAATTGGTTAATATTATCTGTTTCTTCTATTCTGTTCTTACAAACAACATAAAGTTCATATTCATTTTTTTTAAGTCATCGGTGATACACAAAAAATTTGTATTATTTCTTCTAGACAAGGCTTACCCTCGACATATAACTTAATTATTTTTATTACTAAATACTTGTAGGCTCTGCCTAAATAAATTTAGAATCCAGATATTTTCAATGCTCATAAAAGTATTAGGTATAATTTGGCGCACACTCGTCCAAAAATTTAATTCTAAAGATGCTAGTAAACCTTGGCATGCTTTTCTGAAGACCAAATACCTCTTCTCAAAGTAAGAAAACTCCCGATGGTATGAATTTAGGATCCCTGAACAAGTTTTAAGAGAAATCTTGTGTTTGCATTTAAATATGCTTGTATTTGCACTATTTCAGACAGAAGAAAGTTCATCAATCGAACAATGTTTGAGGTTTTAGCAATATTTAAACAATTGAAGGTTGCTTGAGGGCACTCTTTTTATTAAGAAACAATGTTTGGATCCATAATTCCGACATGAGAACTTTTAATTAAGTGGAGATCACCTGTTTAGGCTCGTATTTATCCTAAATACTTATTTTATGATAATTTCTCTTCAAATATCTTCCATTTATGTATCAATGAAGCTAGTTATTTCCTTGACAACATTTGAAATGAGAGAGGGTTATTAGGCACAAAATAAGCTTAAAAGCATCAGTATGAAAGCAGACCAAGAGTATTCCTATTATTCGATAGGAACAGCTTGAAATTTTTCTTCTAACCTTGAAGAACCCTCCATCTTTCAAAACTCAACAGCATCTTGTCTTCTATGAAGCTAGAAGAGATATCATGGTCTAAAATAAAAAATTAATCCAAGATGGCTGATGGTAAAAATTTACTACTAACCTAATGATTGATCTTTATCTAAGATGAACACAAGTTTTATGAGATGAACTATCATCCTTTACTTATCAAAAGTATTGAAAATATACTAACGTATTATGCATATCTTGAATTTTACCTTTACTCAAGTTTATGGAACTATTAACGTTATGAAAGAGAAATAAATTTTCTCTCTTCTAACAATGAAGGAGCTTCTCATAGATTCGTCAAAAGCCGAATTTGATTAAGAAAAAGCTCAGACTTATTTCAAATCTTATAAGCAATGGAAATATTTACCATAAAATTTTTATTGAAATTAGGAAGGGCTTGAGAATTTCTTAAAATAGATAATTTGTAAAATGGTTTCTTGGTCAGAAATCTCCACCAAATGACTGAATTGTTAACTTTTTATTTATTTTAGCAAAGATTATTGAATAATTAAGATGCTAGATATTGTTCAAAGTAAAAATAATCTAAAACAATAGTCTCTAGGCATCTTTTTACTATTTTAAGCTGAGATCGTAAAGCAGTGTCTATCAAATCCTCCATATCTAAAATAATATGCTCAAAAGTTAACCTCCCACAAGAACAAGGTTAGTTTTTAGTTCTAGTCCTTCTAATCTCCTATTAAGCTAAACTTTATTTCTATATTTTTCAATTAAGAGGCTTAAGAATGTCCTCTTCTACTAATAAAACTTCTCAAAATCCCAAATAATCAAAGAAAAATAAATTTTGACATTTCCCTTCAAATGGCTAAATGAGTTATCCAAAAATCTCCTCCTACACCAAAACCTAAATTTTCTCCCACCCCTAAGCCTCATGACCACTACTCTAAATTACTTCCCCATTCTCCAAAATAGTCTATTTCCTGCCCACATTCACTATCTTTGAGACTCTCAAAACCTTCACCTACCTCTCATCAGGGCTTCATAACCTACCGATTAATAAAATCGAAGTATTCACGACTTTCATGACAATAAGACTTCTTAATTATTCCTGAGCGACCAAGAAGGAGGATAGCGCTTGTGGAGGCAAGGATTTCAAGTGGGCTATTGGTAGCGGAAGTTTGAGGATGGAAGAGCTTGTGCTGTGCTAGAGAGAGGGTGGTTTAGCCTTGCGCTGGTATGTATTTAGAATTATTTAATTGCGAAAGATGTGTCTAGGTGGAGTTTGAGTTTGTTCAAAATGAAGGTAGTGATATTTTGGTGGTTTGAAGTCATTTGGTATGGATTTTATAATCTTTTAGAGATAATTATAGCCTTGAGTTTTTACTAGGGATTATGAATTTTCTGTAAGACATATGCCAAAGACTTTAGGAATAATATGTGAGCTTTTTTCCAGGGTTATGATATCTCTTCGGGATTAAGTGTTTTTCCATTTTTCAGCCTGTGGACTCTGTCATTGTGAAGAATAATTAGATACTTAATGAAGAGAAAGCAAAGAGAAAGCAAAGAGAAAGACTAGGGCCAAGTAAGGTCAATAAATTACAATGTACGACAAGTCATAATTCAGTTTTTATACTAGATAAGGAAGAGTAAGAAGTTCTTAATTTTTCGAAATTATTTATAATATCGTTTGAACACGAATTGGCGCATGATAAAATTATTCCAAAACAAGTCAATAAAGTTTATAAGAGAAGTATTTTAAATTTTTATCAATATAAGTCATTAGCTTGAGAGACTCTTTTTACAGGAAATATTTATCATGGATAAATGTGTGCATAGTCTATCTCTTCGAAGATGATTTCTCAGATGCATCACTGATCATCCTTGTAGTTTGTTCTTTGTTTTGAGGCAAAAATCTTCAGAGAGTTACAAAATTATCGGATTTTATTGTGAAGTTGAAACTTCTGAGTGTAAACCTTCTAACAGCTTCGAAGTACTGAGAAATTTCGTTCTTGAGTTTATTGCTTCAATTTATCTCAGATAATTTCTTGATTCCAAGAATTCCAATAGTGTAGTATACTAGCTCATCTGTGACGAATTCTTGGGGGATGGCGTCCATCAGTGTCCATTGAGTTCCTTCGAATATCATTTCGAAGCTTCAGTTTATATATCTTTGTTTCATAATTTCTACATTTTTAGACTTGAAAGAGTCTTTGTAGAACTTCCTAACGTCACGAAGTGCTTTCTTCTTCTTTATATCAAGCCTTCCTCTCATTTTAGGACTCTTCTTTTGCTTTGGGGATGATTTCTTGGGAAGTATTGAAACTTTTTTCTCCTTCTTGTCAGAAAATTCTCTAGTAAGCTCATTCTGCTCATTATCTTTAAAGAGTAAGGTCATAGTAGAAGACCGGATCTCAGCTTGCTGGGTGATCCTAGGATTTGTAGGAAGTATTTTCGTATTTCTCAGACTTGTTGTAAAGAACTCTGATCCTCAGGATGGAAGTATAGGGCTGACAACGGCCGTCTTACAATTTTCTTTGTTGTTTTGGTAAAAATCATTTCTCAGCGATTTGATGCTGTCTTTGCTAGTGAGCATAGGGAAATTGCTGAAATCGTTGTTGTCACCCTATAGAATTATTAGTACTGTATAGAGACTTGAGAGAAGAAGAACATAAAATAGGAGCAGGATTGGCAAGAACATCAAACTGAAACATAAAGTTATCTGAAGAGCTATCTCCTCAGATTATTATTTTGGAGGATGGCTCACTATCTGTTTACTTACATTAAAGTAGCAGGCAAGATCAGCAAATACGTTATCGTAATATAAAGGGCTGGTTTGCATTATTTTTTGGTAGGATTGAAAATTAATTATAGTAATCAACCTGATATTTCTTATATGGGGTTTTGGGGTTTTGGGGTTTTGGGG